GCTGGACTAACATCTCACTGGAGGCTGTTACATGTTTCTTTATTTCAGTTTTTTATTTTATTATTAGGAGATAATCACACTACTCTTAAAATATGAATTATTAGATTCGTTTATGAATTATTAGATTCGTTTATGATTTCTTTCGTTTAATATTTAAAGAAAACATTCAATCTTTGTAAGATATGTTTAACTTTGATATTGATTTTTTTAAGAGCTTTTACAAGCATTGCGAGAACTACAAGTATTCACATTCTTCATTTGATCTACTTGTCTCGTTGATTAATTAAAGCAAGATCGTGAATTATTATAATCACATACACTTTTTACAAACGTATATTATCAATATAGACACTTTGTAACATTTTATTCTAGTATAAAGTTTAGCAAAAAAAAGAAACATTTTATTCTAATATAACCAAAATACATTCACCATCCAAATGAAATTCAGTAAAACAAACTTAACTGAAAAAAATAATATAATCGGAAGTTGACTCATAATTTAATAAGTCAACTGAGAGAAAAAAAAAAGAAAAATCTCAATTCCTGTAAAGAGATAAATTATAGTTTCTCGACTTCCTCGGGTCTCTCTTGTTGGATACTAATGGCTTCTACGATGATCGGATTTCACCTCTCTTGCTACAAACCGATATCGTTTTCTTCGTCGTTTTCCTCGCCGGACCTCAATTCTTTACACTCAAAGCTCTCTTTCCTCTCTCTCAAACCGTCTCCACACCAGCCGCGAAAATCGACGGTTATCCGTATGGGCGGCGGTCCGAGAACTTTTCCGGGAGGTGTATCCAAGTGGCAATGGAAGAGGATGCAAGCGAAGAAGCAGAAACAGCTTCTCAAGGCTCGATTATCTCGAGAACGCCAGATTTACGAGATGCGGAAACGCGCCGAGCTCAAAGCGGCGGTTGCTGAGCTTGAGCGACCATGGGAACCGGTTCATAAACCTCCGAATCTATTCTCTGTATGCGCCGATGAGCAGGTTAAGGTACTCGCTGATCGGTTTCAGAAACCTGGCGGATTCGATCTCTGGACTGATCGGGATGGGCCTCAATTGTTCGAGACGGTTGATGATTTGCCTTCTGCTAGGTTTTTCCCTAAAGGTGTTGTTCATAGTGTGAAACCTTATCGGAAATTACCAAGCTCTGGTGATTCAGATGTGGAGAATTCGCCGAAACAGGAAGAAATTAGGGTAAAATTCGAAGATACTAGTAGTAGTGATAAGCATCGTGGTCGTAAGCTGAGGAAGAGAATAGGGATTAAGGGTATAGAGAGAAGTGAAGAAGGTAAGAGGAGGATGGTGAATCGTGTTAATGGTGGGAAATTAAGAAATGGAAGATCTCAGGTATACGAAATGACTTTGCAGAACGATGGGAGATACGAAATTGGACCTTAGTACTCTCAGTAGTGTTTTCTTCTTTGCTGTGTTCATAATCAAATCATGTCTCTGAACATAAACCAATGTGTATGTAACAGCTTAATGGTGCGTATACTAATCACAGATTGAGCTGAAAAGCTTTCAGTTTTAGTAATATACTTCTCTTGTTTCTTTCGGTTTTTGTGTCCGATATAGTGCACTAGAATTTGTAGCACTGCTCTGTAGAATGTTAGTGGGGTATTCAATGTTTTGTTGTATTGGAGTTGAATATAGGGAAACAGATCTGTTCCGGTATCAGTTTTTTTGGTGACGCTGATTGGAATTATAAGCGTTTCCAAGTATGCCATATGCATAGGACAGCCGTATTGAATGTGCTAAAACTGTTGTTAGTTCTGCAAGTTAAGTTACCAGGATGTGGGTTTCACTGAAGGAGATTGTTACTTCTGATGGAAAATGATACAATATTTCCAATTCATCTGAGCTACTGAGATTGTTGTTACATGTGCAGTTATCTATTAAATGTCGAGACATGATTCTGCAGTAACCGGCTATTCTTCTGTTCGGATGTACCATATCATAGAAGGCCAGTCTTTAACAATTCTCTTGTCAGGTACATTGGCCACATCAATGAATGTCTCTACCTTCAAGGCACCATTAGTTTCCTGCCATCCTCCTTGACCTCTATGTTAGGTCAAGAAGTCTAGTGCCTTTCAGCTCTCTCCTACCTGGTTCCTTTCTAATACTGTGCTTCACATGGTAAGGAAATGAATATAACGTCTGATGTGTAAATTTTGGTTAGGGATATCTGTTCTACAGTTCTCATTGCTAAATGGAGGAAAATATTCTTAGCATTTAGATTTGACTAAAAGTAGCATCAAGAAAAAGAATTTTGATGTTATACCAAACTATAGTTTAATTCATTATGTAAGAAAAGCTGTTATTGTGTCAATGAAAAATTTGTTTGCGATTTAAATATATAGCGTTTTCATGTATTGGTCTCTTTTCCTCCTGGTATAAATATTGACAGAGGTCTTTTTCAGTTATTCTCGCCTTGGTGTGATCATATAACTAATGCATAAGAATTATGTGACAGTGGAATTTGGTTTTGACCATCACATCGTCCATACTTTGTTTTCATTATCTCATTTTCATTTCCAGACTATTGTGCGGGGTCGTGAGTTATCTTGGAATAGCTTGTTATGACCATGAAATAATTAAAGTTCAGGTCTCTGATGTGCTATGGAATTATTTATCTGCTTTGATTGGCTTAAACTCCTGGAATCGCCAACTTGGGAACTGATGTTTAACACCATACAACCTAAGGTTACCTTTCTCCTTTATCTTTATAATGCACCATCTTGACAATGGTATGTGAAGTATATTTTTGGATTTTTAAATGTCCCCAAGATGACAATTGCTTCTTTGTGTCTTTCTCGCTTTGTTTTCACAGAGGTTGGTGAATGCTAAATTTATCTGGACGGAGCCTCATTTCAAGAGAATCATAGTGAAGTTGAGGGTTTGGCAGGGGAGGTTCTTGTTGGTGCAATCTTATGTCATTGAATATAATATCACCCGTAAACTGTGCTACTGGTGCTTGTTAGAACCCTTTGAGTTAGCTAAGTAAAAAATGAATTACTTTCTCATTTCAAGATAAACGAGAAAAATGCTTGCGGAATTGAAAATTGTTAATCTTCTGAGTGATCCTGGTAAAGGTTTCACAGTATGGTTATCTTGTAGGAGTTGATTAAGTCTGGTAGGAAATTATGTTTTTTCTGCGATAACATGTGAGCTAATGGAAGTCATGTTGTATGTGAAGTTGTCGGGTCAGCACTCACATGTAAAGTTATAGATGGTTGCACATGAAATGGGATGAGAACGTTCTCCTCCAACAAGTAATTATCTGTTGGAATTTTATTGGAACTTCATCAATTTGACTCAGATTATCTAGGAGACCTTAACAATGCTCATATAAGGTAAATTAATATCTTTATCTTTGAGCTACTTCTCGTTTTCTTTTCATTTGCACTTCCTTAGCCTTATTGCATAGTATCTTTCTACTTTCTCATATCTGTCTCTTTCAAAGGCAATATATGGAAATTGAGTGCATTTAGACATTCAGAGGTGGCTCCTTTGGTTTCAAAACTGAAGTTCTTGTCTTCTGATTGCTAAATGAACAAGAGAGCTGTTGTACTATTTCTTGGCTTACATAATAAATTTGACTAGTACCAGTTTCAAGGAGAATAAGAGTTGGATTGTGATAGTACCAAGAAGAGTTTATTGCCTATGATTCATACTGTAGATAATAAAAGTATATTAGATAATAAAAGTATAAACAATCTAATTTGTTTTCATGTATATAAATTGTTATGCAGGATAGAATGAATGCATTCATCATGAAAAATGACGAAAGCAAGCTTGTGACTAATGTTTTAAAGCATTATCTCGTTTTGCTCACATAGAGATTCATTATCGTGCTCAGCATTGGCCATTAATTAATAAGTGGAGGAAATCTATTGACTTGGGTTAAGTGACTTAAGTCTATTGGTTGTCAAACAGTTTTTCTTGATAATGGCATGTTCCACAATTCGCTTTCTTGCCACTGCTCTGTGTTATACATTTATTGTGGGAATCAATTATTAGATGGTTAGACTCCATGTCAAGATAAAGCTGTTGTTACTATTCAATCAGGTACTCTGGTTCAAAATCTAATCCAATGGAGGTGGTTCAACTTGTAAGATCATCCGGTCTGCTCTGAGCCTCTGATTAGTTAATTTTTACTGTTGTTTGATTTTGTGATCTTTAGATCTTGACGGTAACATCCTCTGACTCATCAACCCTTTTTTTGGTGCCCTTATCTGATTTACATCAAATTTGCGTTGGCATGTGCCTCTTATGACCCACTTCTACTGTTTTATCAGAGCATAACAATGGGAGACTGTATTACAACTTTTTATGTGGAGCAAAACACGTGAAATGGAAGAATGCTTAGTGGAGGTTAGTACTTTCCATAATTCCATCAAAGAAATCGTTTGAAAGTGTTCATTTTATCTTGCTACCATGAGAAACCATGTGAAAGAACTGATTCTAGCTTCCATAATTTAAGCTCGTTGCTTCTAAAAGTGTCATTT